GATATATAGAATTACCTCTATATAAAAATAGTTAATATGAAATTAATTTACATCAGATCTACTATGGAACCCAAGAATTATAGTACAATCAGAAGTATTTTGAAGAAAGAACAAGGTGAGAAAATTGCTCCTTACATTTTCAAAATAAATAATACTCAAACACTGGAAGCTTATCTAAGGAAAGAAAGGATTACTTATGAAATTACCAAGAAGAAAGAAAAATAATAAATGTTGGAAAAAGAAAGCATCATGATGATGCATTATTACTTAATAAAAAGCAAAAATCTTTAAAAGGAAAATAATCTTATTATTATTATGATATTGATCTTTTTTTTATCTTTTGATTTTTTAAATTGCTAACATTGGTTTCCAGATGATAGATATTGGTAGCCTGGTGATGCCTACTACAAGCAAAGTCTGGTAATACATAAAAGCTGTTAGGAATAAGTTCACTAGTTTTCTCAATTGAAAGGGGATGGTCATCAATATATAAATCAAAATTGGGATGATGTTCTTTAATATAATCCCATCTAATAAGTTGAACTAATTCATGTTCTAAAACAACCTTAGTTTCAATAAAATCAACCTTGACTTGTGGAAATTGTCCCTGAGTTTTGTCAAATTTTTTATTTTTCCCCATTGGATAACCTTTAGAGTACTTCTTTTTTTTAAAAGCTGTTAAAATAGTCAACTCATTAATTAAATCCTCCTTTAAAGCCATCAATAACTCCTTGATAATGAAAAGAAGAGACAAATGATCATAAAAAGAAGGTTTTTCACTATAATGTTTCTCTTCTTGTTCTGTTCTAATTCTTTTTAATTCTCCAGAAGCTAGTCTTTGAATATTTGTCTTCTCATTTGGATCATCTTTATCAATATAAGATCATTCTCATGAATTTATTACATCAGCATTAATCATAGAACCATGCCCTTTAGGATCATTACATGGATGATGCAATTTATCAATTTTATAATTTGTAATAGTATCAAATATGTTGTATAGTCTAAAACTCTGAGTCAAGCCAAGTTATTGAATCTAATTACTCGAGTTGATTTGTGACTCTGTTGTACGAACTTTTTTAATTGATATATTTTGATCATATATACTCTATCTAACCTTAAGTGTAACAAAAAAAAAAATCTTTTTTTACAATATATATTATATTTTTTTAAATATGTCAAAAAGTAAAAATGACTACAATGATTTTGGCATTCAAATTGAAGAGATACTAAAGGTATATGAAGAGCATCTTGATAATATTGATTTTCAGGGTTGTGATAGTACACTGTACTAGAAGAATTTCTAGTATTGGTACAGTACTAGTACGGTATTACGATTTAGTCTAATTAGTACAATTTAGTCCATTTTTAGTATATTTAGTACAAATAGTACAATTTCAGTACAAATAGTACTGTACTAGAATTTTATATCTTTAGTACAGTACAGTACAAGTACAATACATGTACTGACGATCTAATTTAATAAGCCAATAAAAATCGACCAATATCACATGACACAATTAGTACAGTGTACTAATTTACCAAAAGTCTAGTACAAGTACAAGTACAGTACAAAAATTAGTACAGTACAAGTACAATTCCCAACCCTGATTCAATGAATCATTGATTTTGGTGGCAATGGTAAACATTCATGAATTAACCTAATCATTAAATTTTTTTAAACATTTTATTTGCTGAAAATCATATGAATTCGTTATAGCACAATTAGTACTCTTCACTGTTCGTTGTAGAAAATATTTTAAAAAAAGTGATCAAAACCAAAATTCATTGAAATGAAGGATTTACTGCAATAAAATACATGTAATAAATAAGGAAATTGTTCCTAAAAAGGACTACTTATACATGAGTAATTAAAAAAAATTTTTTTTATGACTTGACTCATTTGGTGCTCTATTTTCATACATTTTTATTAATTTAAGGCTCACTTCAGTACTGGATATAAGGCTATATGAAATCTCAATAAAATTTCTTGCAGACAGACGTTTCTGATATTCGATTTCAATGAATGATATTATAGCAAGTGATTGATCAAGTTTATAAGAGACAATATCTTTATCCCATTCACGATGTCCCTTTATTGCTGTAGTTATATTCATACACAAGTTAATTAGTTAGTGATCATCTGGACCTAGTTTATTTGCATTAGTATTATGATGTATTTTGCCTTGAATATTGTGACTGAATTGATTTTAATGAAAAGGACAAACATAAAAATGAATGTCTTAAACTAAAATTTTTGTGGTCGATGCATTCATTGTGTTTATTGGTATAAAAATGTAGAAAATATGAAAAATCATCATACCCACTGTTTTAGTCAACCTAAATATAGCAGTTATGATACTTCAATGAGTTTTTTTTCATGGTAAAAGAGTAGAAATTCTGTCAAAGTTATACAAAATGTAGTCATTTGATGGCTTTATCATCTGGATGGCCCATTTATGGAATATATTAAAGATCAATATTATTGAAAAGCAGACATCTACATTTTGGCATGTCAAAGTCAATGATTTACGTGAATTATATATATTATCCGATATATATGTTTGTTGTATGTGAAATTGAGATTTATGTAAAATCGAAATTAGCCAATCAGATATGGGAATGTTTGGATGTGTAATTGGCTAGATTCATTTTATTTCATTTTCACATACAACATATACATTACAAATAGACTGATTACGTGCATAGAAAATGTATCATTACATGAAATTTGCTACATTGCCATCTCATAATGCCAGATTTTATTTCAATGAATATGATTTTTATTGGGCATTGAAATTATTGAACCTATTTTAGCAAAACAAAGAATTTCTATCTTTTTTGTTTCTTTGGTGAGACAATCACTTGATCAAGTTCACTGTTATCATCTGATTCTTCTGTGCTTTCAATATATGAAATGATGCTTTCTGCACTTGAGGAAATAATATCCTAATAATGTTCAAAATTATTAGTTACCATCAGGAAATTTTTTCTGACGTAAATTTACGTAATATTATGGAGCCTGCCATAAACTTATGTAAATAGTGTAATATTATGCAAAAATTGCAATTATTACATTCAGTGTAAATATTACATCCTTTTTATGCAAAATATTACAACATTTCATATTAAAACTTATGGATGTAATATTACGGCGGGAAAAGTTTCCTGATGACATCCACTTATACTAACATCCTTTACATGCATGTCAAACACCTACATGTAATTTCCATAAGTTATACAAGAATTTCGGTAATGTTTTAAAAGCAAGTAAAGTAATTATTGGGCACTCAAACATGAATTCTTGCTTGAAATAATAAATCCTGGAGAAAGGTATGGATAAACTGTAGATATAAAATGAGTGTTCTACAGATATAATAAAAAACATGTTAGTAATAATAATATGACCAATCTGTCAGCTCATAGAACTTACTGTAGATTTGTACACCATATACTTTGATCTTGCGAAATTCTTGGAAATTCCCATGATATGTCATTCTAATGAAATTTAAAATAATTTTTAAATTTTTTGCTATCTTATTACGGTCCCCAACATAATGACTATGGTCTGGATTTGATGGAGACCCAGAGACCTCCGTGACAGAAAACTCAAGATTCAACTCCATCAATTTAATTATAGTGTCAATCTTGCTTCCGGTGTTATGGTGATCATTATCTTGCAGGGATTTATTTAATAGAATCGCAGAACATCTCAATGCCTTTTCACCCCTATTGCAAAACAGTAAAAACAAACTTTGAATAAAAACAATGCAATAAGTAGTAATTTAATTATATTGAAATTTACCAATCGAAACCCAAATATTGAAGATCCTTAAATAGAATTTTGTAGACCCGGGAAATAAAGTTGATAATGTATTGATATTCTGTTTGTTCATCTTTGAAGGAATTCTTTCCATTTTCAAATTGATCATGACTACAAAAATCACCAGAGTTAAAATGTTAGTACAGAATTGATTGTAGCATAAAGATCCACTAAAAAACACTTACAAAATCTTTGATATATTTAGAACTTGCCTCTTCCATCTAGCATTACCATCTGTTCTCAATGCAGAATGATTTGACTTAATTGTTTCTCGTAACTTTTCAAGAGAATTCTAATAATAAAATAATCATTAGTATTTAACAAAACTATATGTTCAATATTTCAAAATAACATCCACTTACCACATTCTTAAAAAGAAACTTGGCATAATCTTTTATCTTATCATCTTCTACATCTTTTGTTGTTGAATCCGAAGTTACAACTTCCATAGCATCAATCATAATGTTCCAAATATCTTTAAAAAGAACTTGTGCCTCTGTTGCTGACGAACTGATAGAGTCTATTATGTTATAGCGCAACAGACTGTAAATAAAGTTATTGATAAGTATATACTGTTAAAATAATAATATTAGAAGATGTTATCAATAGACATACTCTTGCTTGTGAATTTCCTCGATGTATTTAGATTTTTGACACCACTCTTCCATGTTTAAACGAACAATTGTATTTTTTATAATCAAGTCGTATTCTCGGATATCTTGTATGGTCTCTTTAAAATCATCACAAATTTCACCCTCTTCCAAAAGAGCTTCTGTCATCCACTTAGAAGGTGTTACACCATCTCGTTTTTTCTGTATGGATGTGCCTTGTTCACTGTTCATGGTTTCTGGTTCCTTAAAAGACAAGTTTATTGATTGCTGTCCAAAGGGACTTGGGAAGAAATTATTGATCTCATTGTTCAAATTCTACAGAAATGTGAGGTCAATACTATAAAATATGTCAATAACATTGGCAATAATGCAAACTTTACATAGGTATTAGCGTATCCAGCAGTTCTTCGATTTTCTATATCATTGGTTATTGCACTTTGGAAATATTCTCTGGTTTGACTAGTTTTTTTTTCCTTTGCTAAAGTAGGATATTCTTAGTAAACAACGTTCTATGTATAATTTTCTGATAATACAATGGTCTCATGCTTACTTTTGCATTTTCTTTCACTATTTCCAGCAGAGTATCTCCAATGATTTTCAAGCATTCAGTTTTCTAATAAAATCATTTGGAAACAAGCTTGTCAAGATTGGATTAAGTCAATGCCATAAATATAATAATATAAACCATACAATTAACTTTTTGTAGAGATTCTGAACACGCTGTGCAACATCAAAATTAATGTTTCTGATTCTTGTAATGTCAACTAAACTTTGAATGTATTTATCAAACACTTGTTGTGCTGTTACTGTTGGATCCTTTGTGTATACAAATTTTGTAAACTTTTCAAAGTTATTCCACTGCAACAAGGAGGTTACAGAGAAAAACTTGCTGATTTGAGTGTGCGGTTGGCAAAGTTTTGTATCTAATGTGAATTTGTCAATTTTGCTCATCTGTTTTTTGCAAAAAGAGGTGTTTAATTAATAAATAATACCAATAGACTCATATGCCAATATTATTTTGTAGCTCCCATCTGGGTATAAGTTATTCAGTCACAATCATGCAGTTGAGTACATGATGTTCGCAGGCAATCTCTGATACATGACCCTAGCCACCCTTTCGTGTTGAACAATCAGATGTAGTGGTAATCTCCTGCAACATAGACTGAAAACTCTCCCAAAAGTAAACTCTTTCCGCGCTCTCCTTCTTACATGTGTGTTGAACACAGAAGATTTGCATGTAAGCCCTGGGTCATTACTGCCAGCATCCATTCTGTCCGACCAAGAGACCACCTTTTGTGTTGAACTACAAGGCAATGCTTGGTGGCCCCCATACAACAAAAAGAGAAGTGCGTGCATGTGTAAACAGATATTAATATTATTAATAATACTTAACTTTTAATGACTAAGTTATAAGCAATAGGTTTGAAGTATTATGTAAAAACAACAGATATAGTAGGTATATACCACAACGTGTTTGATTAAAAACGTGTTTTTTTTTAATTAAAAGCGTGTCTTTTTAAAAACAATTTTATTGGTACATGTTTCTAAATTTGTATTGGCAATCAAATTTTTTTTGTGCTACTCAAAAACATATATAAAACATTTCTTCATCATTGGTAGCACAACCATCTTAATGATTAATGTAAATAAACGCGTAACTCACTAATCAACAACTATAATTAACGTGTATATTGTGTGTATTATTATTATATATTAACATACCCCTGTGTTACGTTCATGATATTTCTTGAGTTACGACAATAATAAATAAAATAATGAATTAAAAATAACTAAAATTGTTACAGCTTGGCATATCTGTTTTTTCTGAAATGTTAAATTTAAATATGTATATATTTTCTTTTTAATTATTTTCAAGAGGAATA